CCATGGTTGAGGAACACAGAAATTGACAGCCCGGCTGGGGAACTTCAGGGGGGAAGTCCAGGGGGCTTTAGCCTCCAGGTTTGGTTCTCTTCAAGATGTTCTCACCACCCTGAGGTGCACGGGAGAATTCCTCTTGGTCACATAGGTGGGAGTTATTAATTAGACACACAGGTACTTCTCCCAAAAACAAATCATTAATTATTAGAGTCAGTGAAATTTACATACATGTTAAGGAAGAAAACTCTTCTGTGTCACATAATCTGCACAGAGACCCCTTCATTACTGTAAAGAATTGTGTTAGCCTCCCTACCCCCACCCCTTTATTCAGTCTCCACCTCCCAGCCGTGAACTTAGATCTTCCTGGGTAAAACGAACTTTAATCATTGGGCTCTCTAGCTGCTGCAGCTTCGAAGTATTTTCATCTCTGTACCTTAGGCCAGTGTTTCTGTAAACTTTACCGTGCACATTAAAGTGCAGTTTCTGATTCAGTAGGTCTGGGAAGGGGCCCCAGATTCTGTATTCCTAACAAGCTCCCAGGTTATACTAAAGCTGCTGGTCTACTCTCTGAGTACAGGCCTTAGAACAGATCGGCTCTGGTCGGGGATCCCCTACGTGACTGCTGTAAGCAGGTAAAAAGCCGTGTGGGAGTCTGTAATGACCCCATGAAGTGTGCCCAGAGACCTGGGGTCGAGGGAGAGGGAGGGAGTGCTCCTCTGGCTACAGAGAAGCTTCTTTCAGCAAATTGGCCTCCCAAGTCAGGGCCTTTTCAGCCTCCCCAGCTTGTGGGAAGGTACGGGGCTTGTGAGAACAGCCCTAATTCTCACTCTAGCTGAGACCTTCCCTCTTTGGTTCCCCTTGCCCGATTGACTTTGATCGTGGTTCTGACAACATCAAAAGCACCATGGTTTAGGCACCAGCGTCTTTAGGATTGGAGAGTTTAATAAGCCCAGGGAACAATCACCAGTGACTATACAAAAAGCCTCTTTATTTATAGTAACACCATAACAGCTAATTTACTTAAAATATAAATCAAGAAATACCATGAAGTCAAAGAAAAGAAAGAACTTTCTAAGTGGAAAAATGCATATTGCCTCCTCCTACTGGAACATAAAGGTCTGATTTGACATGTTTGGCTGCTTCTGGATTTTTTTTTTTAACAGTTAGAATCCTGGCTAATATACTATGCTATTACTTTCCTACTCAGTAATTTGCTAAAACCACAGTGTCTTGAATCCGTCTCATCTTCTTTGATAATCAGTCAGTCTCCTAACCTTAGAATGGTCTGAAGAAACCCTCTCTTCAGGACACAGCCCCTCCCCTCCTTTTGGTCCTTTCAGTGGAACCTGTCTTGGCCAGAGAGAGATCCACGCAAAATGTCTTTGTATTAGGGAGCTCTATATCACTATCATTTGTGCTCAGCTCATTCTGCTTAACTTCCTAAAGGGTCCATTTATTAGGATTGTAAGGAAAGGACCATCTCCCTAAACAAGATCAAACTTGGTCCTCTAAGGACCTTTCTGAAGGAAAAGGTGAGAAATTTGCCTTGTGACAAAGAATTGCTCAACTTCTCAGCCCTGATTCTTCTCTGCTCTGTTCTCTCCTCTCTTGCCAAGAGCCATTTCCTCTTCTGAAAGCTGCTACTGACCTCTTAACCCGCAGGTCTTAGACACTGGGTACCTCCCTCTTAACATTCTTGTCACGTGTGTGACCACAGGTGTACCTATAATCTGCTCAGTAGCACAGCTGAGAGAGGAAAGGAATATTTGAACAAGGCTTTATTAAAGACCAAGGCAGTGAATCTCAAACTCATACATCTGAGAACCCATAGGAGGATATCAACCTGTTTAATATCAGATAACAAAGCCCTAAACCCAAAGATTTTCTTCCATGGGTCTGGGATGATTCTGAGTAATTCTGAGCAAGGTGGTCCAAGGAATACACTTTAAGAAATACTAGCTAAGAGATTTTTTAAAAAGGTAAACATTAAAAGAAATGAACCAACAGAATAGCATACAACTAAGTAGAATCAGTTTGTAAGTTTACACTCGGAGGCTCTAAGATCCCATCATGTCCTATATTCAGGAAAATGGAAAACCTACCTCTTGGGCACCCACTAGCATATACATGGTACCCCAAAGGTATGGCCCCTTCCCCTCAGAGCTTGCTTTCTAAACAGACAAAATAAAATCAAATGGATCCTAAGCATTCTCCCTGATAATAAACAATAAGCTGCCTAAAATCTTTTCTGGGATGAGAACAACTTGTATAAACAGATAAATGGCATCATTTGTTTTACTTACTTGTACTTTAATTGCCCGCTGCGTTCAGCAGGCAGAGGATCAGATTCAGAAGGCTTTGTAATTCTCCTTTTCCTGGTGACAAAGATGAAAAATTGATTTCTACATTAATAATACTTTGGGTTGAAAGAAATGGACTGAGATTTTAGGAATAAATGTACCAGCTTTGCAGTACATTTTAATTTAGTTACTTTTATTATGGTCCTACATTTTGTAAGTTTATCATATAATTGAAAATAAAGAAATACCCTATCTTTGTTCAAGTGTAATCTTAATATAAGGAAAAACTCAAGTAGCCTAGAATTTTAGATTATGAAACTTGAATTTAAAGCAGATTGATGGTTTGGGGGTTGGTATGTGTCTCCATGGTCAACATCATATTATCGCCTACAAAACAAACATGTTTTAGTTTGAAAAATTTCGTTTGAGAACCTTGGACTCAAGGCCATGGAAATGTGAAAAGTTGTTTGTGTAAGTACATCTGGCTGAGACCATGTGACTGGGACAATGCTTCTACTGGAAGCGGGGCTGGTAAGTTGGCGTGCTGGAGCAGGGCATTAGCCTTTTAGTTGCTGAGCAGTAAAACAGATAGAGGGACAGGGTAGTATCTGCAGCTTTGGTGGTTGGGGAGACTTGGGGAGAGCTTGAGGCAGGAACTCTTTACCAATTGATTGAGAAGTCAGTGTTTGAATATTTTTCACCAACCCTAATTTGAACTAGAAACAGAGGAGAAGAATTGTTAATTCCAACCTGTATATGAAAGAAGGGAAAGAAAAGAGAAAAGAAAGAGAAAGAAAATTAATCGATGAGGATGTTTTATGCTGTGCCACTGAACAGTATCTCACTATAGCTACTGGATCGAAACCAATCCAATTTTGCTCAGCCCAATTTTTGGAGTCATCTCATTGTTCTGAAGGAAGAAATGGGAGAAAAGCAAGCTTAAATTAAATGGACGTTTAGCATACACCTGAAATCACGGCAACGTATTCATGCCTGTCATGATCTGATATGTAAGTTTTCCATGTTCGTATAGTTAACTATATTGCCTGGAGCTGTTATTAGCAAAAACCTCATCTAGTAGCCACCTGAAGGGAAATAAATTGGCTGAAGCTTAAACTCTACATTTCTTTACTTTTGAACTGGTAGGAGAAAAGCTCAGAGGAAATAATGTCATCTGTACATATGAAGTGCCAACGTATATGTGGTCCATGACAACTGTGATCACATTAAAGTCAATGAAGAAATAAATTAGCAGGAGCATCATGTCTCTGAATAAATAAGAAACAGCTACATGTCACTAAGGAGAGTGGAGCCTAATGAGCAAAGGCATAGAATTTGTAGTTGACCAAGATTTCAGTTCGAATCATGACTTTGTCTCTTAAATGCTTTATAATCAGGAGACACCTTACTCAGCACCAGTTTTCTTTTTAAAAAAACAGGTATAAAAAAACAGGTATAATAAGCCTCAGGGTTGGTGTGAGGATTAAATCCAATAATATATGTAAATTGTCTTCTTCATAATAAGTAATCAACCAAAGCTAACTACAATAATCAAAAATTAAGTAGTCAAAAGCTAACTACAATAATCAAAAATTAAGTAGTCAAATATGAAAGAGTCTAGGAAAAATGCAGAAGTTGATTAATGTTATGAAAACATATGGGCTTTTTTTTCAGGTTTAGCCTTTATGTTCATTCAGCTGATGAATTTTCAGCAGATGTTTTTCAGACGTCGTGCTCACTCAGTTCTGTTCCTGTCAGCGTGCCACTGTCTTAAGACTTATGAGTAGAATGATTAGAACAATAGAATGAACCAGTCTTACTGAGATATTCAGAGAGAGAGAGAGTGAGAGAGAAGAATACAAATGATATTTTCTTTTCAGAGTGCATTTGCATATAAGGTATTCCTAGTCTATGTGGCATAAATATGTAAAGGAAAAAAACCCTAAAATATGAAACATGTATTTATTAATGTATTAATATTACCCTTAAGGTTAAAAAAAAAGTAACACAAATTTTAATTAATTTAAAAGACAAAGAAAAGCTAAAAGCAGTTTAGCCTCAAGTGCCAGGTAAAAAGTATGATCCAATATTTGTGACGAGACAAAGGAAGCTATAGAGACAGGGCATCCAACACCGAAATAATCCCAGGAGAAATAAGATCACTGGTCACATCACATCCAACTTAGCTGAAAATTCAATTGTCAAGTCCTGGAAATCAGCCCTGATGGGTGAGTTGGGGCATTCTCGCTTGCTGTTTGAGGAAAAGGTCACCTTTCCGAGCCTGAGCCTTCTGCAAACTCCTTAAGACCCCGAGAAGAAGAGTCTTCTGTCTTTCCCTCATGGGTTCGCCATTGACAAGAACCTGAATCATTTGAAGGAGCTTAAGAATCAATAAGTTTGGATATGCTCAGTTTCACGTTACAAGACACTCACCCACCAGCGAGCACATTTTGTACAGAAATGTATCCATTATAGTATTTTATTGCCTCTTTGAGAAGATAAATCAAATCAGCACTTAAAGAATCTGGACACGCCCAGCTGTCAAATTGTTTCCTAGCCTCACTCACATTGCAACTAATTGGGAGAGCTTGTTGATCATTTCTGAGTAGTATTTTCTTCCAAACATTATTTTCAAATTCTTCAAAGTTGTAATCTGTAAATTGTCTCAAAATTTGCATCTCTTGGGCTCGGCGCTGCCACCGTCAGAGTGACTTACTCGTTTTCAGCTACTGGCCTAACAGCAAGGAGGATTAGATTCCCACACCTGCAGCAGCCAGGGGAAGAATGGCATTGAAACAGATATCCAGCAACAAGTGCTTTGGGGGATTGCAGAAAGTTTTTGAACATGGCAGTGTTGAACTGAGCTGCAAAATGAAATTTGCTATCTACTTACAACCAAAGCCAGAAACTGGAAAGTGCTCTGCACTATATTGGCTGTCTGGTTTAACTTGCACAGAACAAAATTTTATATCAAAATCTGGTTATCATCAGGCTGCCTCAGAACACGGCCTTGTTGTCATTGCTCCAGATACCAGCCCTCGTGGCTGCAATATTAAAGGAGAAGATGACAGCTGGGACTTTGGTACCGGGGCTGGGTTTTATGTGGATGCCACTGAAGATCCTTGGAAAACTAACTACAGAATGTACTCTTATGTAACAGAGGAGCTCCCCCAACTTATAAATGCCAATTTTCCGGTGGACCCCCAAGGGATGTCTATTTTTGGCCACTCAATGGGAGGCTATGGAGCTCTGATTTGTGCTTTGAAAAATCCTGGAAAATACAAATCTGTGTCAGCATTTGCTCCAATTTGCAACCCAGTCCTCTGTCCTTGGGGCAAAAAAATCTTTGGTGGATATTTGGGAACAGATCAAAGTAAATGGAAGGCTTATGGTGCTACCCATCTTGTGAAGTCCTATCAAGGTTCTCAGCTAGACATACTAATTGATCAAGGAAAAGATGACCAGTTTCTTTCAGATGGACAGTTACTCCCTGATAACTTCATAGCTGCCTGCACAGAGAAGAAAATCCTCGTTGTTTTTAGATTGCAAGTGGGTTATGATCATAGCTACTACTTCATTGCAACCTTTATTACTGATCACATCAGACATCATGCAAAATACCTGAATGCATGAAAAACTTCAGATAAGAGAATCTCTTCAGTATTACAAAAGATGTAAAATCAGAATTACCAAGCACAACAAGATTTCAAAACATTGGATTTTATAATGCTAAAAGAGCTTCATTTTATGGTTAAATCACCTGAATAAAGATATAAAACCTAAAAAAAAAAAAATTTGCCTCTCTTTGTGCACTTTCCCTTGGTGTTCCTGTGAGATTTCCGCAGGAAGTTCTCTAAATGTGTGCAGTGTGGATCTGGTAAGGCAGAGGCAACAGAGCCAGAAACACAGGGATCAGTTAGGACGGTTCTTTTCTGTTCTTCATTCATTTCTTTTATTCAGGAAATACATATGGGCCATCTAATAAGGTCAACATTGTTCTAGACACTAGGGAGGACAGGACACACAGAGCCCCATCCTCTAGGTACAAACGAACAAAAACTGACACATTAATAAAACGATGTGGGCCGTGATAAGAGTTATGAAGGGGAAAAAAACACGCAAACAAAACAAGGAGTTGAGATAGAAAATTATAAGAGAATATTTTAGATAGTGTAGTCATTGTGGCCTTTTGGGGGCTGTGATATTTAAGCTGAGGCCTAAAGATGAGGAGATAACAAAGAGTGGGTGGAAGAGCATCCAGACAGTGGGAATAGCATATGCAAAGGCCATGAGTTGGGACAGAGCTTAGCTTGGGAGAAGGGGTTGGGTGCAAGAGAAGCAGTGCATCAGACAAGGGGCTATTGCAGCAGTCCAGGCAAGAGATGCTAAGGATCAGATCAGGGTGGTGGCAGCAGAGATTTAGAGCAGTGGTTAGAGTTGAGATATTTGTTGGAGATGGAACTGACATTTCTTGCCAGTGAATTGGGCAGGAGAGATTGAGAAAAAGGACATTTCCCAGATTTCCAGCCTGAGTTAGGGGGATGGTAGTGCCATTTACTGAGCTGAGGAACAGATTTTGGGGAAAAACTTCAGAGTTCCGTTTTGGACGTATGAAGTTTAAGATATCTACATGACATCCAAGTGGGGTTATAAGACATTTATGTACCTGTGTTTGAAGCTCAGAGGGAGGAGTACTGTGATCTGAAGAAATAAGCTGGGGAGTCATCAACCTAAATTCAATATTATTATCAAATCCATGGAAATGAATGTGATTTCCCAGGAAGCCTGTATCTAGGATTGAGGCCTCTTTGAATGAAGGTAAAGGAGCTTCCATTCATGGTACCAATCCTTGGTGGGTCTCTCCATTTTCAAAATCTCAGCTTAAAAATTAGTATTTAGGGAGAGTCCTTCTGTTACTCTGAACTCTCTAAAATTCTCTGCTGGACTAAGCCAGGCCTCTGACTCTATCTTGATACCCCAAACCTGAATGCAGAATGGCTTTTATTAGATGATGCTATCAGCTTACACTGAGGGATGTGATGAGAAACCATGCAAGGAACTCATCCCAGTGTTTAGCAGCATGGAGCTGCTATTTCTCCCATTTTGCAGAGGAAACTGAAGCCCAAGGAGGTTAAGGAACTTAAGGAACTTGCTTGGTTATGCAGTTCCCGAATTCTTAAATACTTCTTTATACTACATTGACTAACAGAAATGGTAATCAGTCTAGAGGCACTATTTAATTTGTCCTTGTGAGGTTATTTGGGGGCAAGTGGAAGTAGAGAAATCTGGAAGCAGCATATTCATGTCCTGTTCCAGCCACAGGTGGGACTGCAACAGACACTGCCAGTGCCCTTCCTGTCTCTGGCCCAGCACCACACTGGAAAGCCAACCCATAAACGGTCCCAGTAGAATTCCCCAGGAAGTCACTGCAAAGTTCCCTGTGTAACCACCTGTCTGCTTCACAAGCACCTTCTAATGAGAAAAAGATAATCTGTAGTATCGAGGCAATAGTTGGTCACCTTCCACCCTACCATTTCTACTTCAAATTCTCCAGCTTCTTGTCTTTGTTTTTCTTAATTTTCATTTTTTACTGAGTTCTTTTCTTCCCTCCCACTCCATTATTTCCTATATATGTTTAGCCTGTTGGTATTGGCTAAAACAATTTCTGAATTTTCTTCTTAGATTAAGATAGAGACCTTTTGGAATTTTATTCATCTTTTTTCCAACTATTTTCAAAATGCAGAGCTAAATGTTCTGTTTTATACTTACCAACATTTTTGTGCATGTCTGGTTATTTTCAGGTTACTGTTACCTGTGTTTTCCATTGTTTCATTATGGAAACCCTTAGTGGACAGTGATCAGTCAGGATAACTTTGGTTCAGTGCTGAGTCAAAGCAGGTGTTTTTAAAATTTTAAATAAATGAGATAAAAAACTGAGTTGATAAGGTTAGTTAAGGGGAAGAGTGAGTATTTTCCTCATGGGGAAAAATTCTCCTCTGAAAAAGAGTTTTCTGAATATATTTAGATTTTTGTTTATAGAGCATTTTACTTGACAGAGGAGTCAAGAGAGGAAAAAATGGAATTCTGAATTGCTTCATTGCCTTTGCCTCTGGAAGATGAGCAAGAAATAAAAATAAAGCATTTCAGAAGTTTAAGACTCAAGTCCATGAAAATATGTTTTGATTCCCCAAAATTTCTAGTCAAGCATTGTTTGTGTAGTGTCAGAGATCCTATACTACAAATTCTGGTTGAGCATTAAAGAAGATCTGCTGGAATTAAAGGATTCCTAGTACCGGCTGTGTCCCTGGCACTGGTCCAGGTGCAGGGGCAGGTGTGGACAGACGTGGCCTCTGCCCCCAGCCAGCTGTGGAGGGAGCAGGAGAGCAGGGCTCAGTGGCCGGACACCTTATGTGAAAGGTTCTGTGCAAGACATGCACGGGAAGGGAATCCGATAGATTGAAAGATGGTGGGGTGAGGGAACAACCTATTTTGGGGATCATCAGTATGGAAAGGAAATGAACACCTGCACTAGTCTATTGAAGTCTCATAAGGAAAGTCTCTGTAGTTGTTCCGTAAATGAGAGCAGACACAACGATGCTTTGGTTATTCTCGTGGTTGGCCACACTGAGTGGGGGGCTTGTGCTATATCCCTTAGGGCAGGCAAGCAAACAAAGCAAACAGGAATCTACTGAACACAAGAGTAGGGCTGAGCAGACAGCTCTCGAAAACAAAGGGAAGCTCCAGATCAGGGGAGCGTGTGGGCTTCTCAGGAAGAGGCAATGGAGACGATGGGGACAGCATGACTTGATGTGGGCTTTCTCTCCCACTGCGTGGTGTGTCAGGCTCAATCCACAGGCTTTCAGCATCCACCTGCTGTTGATCAAAGCCCACCTTATCTCTAATTTAGCACTTACTATCCCATTGTTCATTGACCCCCAGTTTCTTTTAACTTTTTAATCCTCATTTGACCTTTACTTGGTAGTGCAAACTTGGGGAACCACACAGAGAATCTCCTAGCCTGTTTGGAGGGGGAGGGGTCTGGGATAGTGGGTGTGGCAGATGCTCCCCTTGCTTCATAAGTCCCGTAAGTGGCCCTCTGGACAAATGAAAGGCTCTGAGGTGGGTAAGAGTCTTGCCCCACCAACTGAGCTGTGAGAGACCTGTGGCTTTCTTCACATCTCTATACCTGGGCTTGATTTTGTTTGTTTTGTCCCTCATTGCAGTGGGCACATGAAACAGGCAATTTAGGGTCCGCCCCTGCCCTTCTTCTGGGGCACTGCCTCTGTTCTGGCAACTCATGTAGTTCCCGTGTGAGTTTGGGCTGGGCTGCCCCCGCTCAGCCTCATGTCTCCATCCACACAGGTCCCTTGCCACCCTGTCCCACCAGTGGGGCAGCCTCAGGCTGTCTCTCTCCCTGTTAGAGTCCAGAGAGTGTCCTGCGGCTCCCTGCACCATCCTGGTACACTGCCCAGCTCTGCGAGGCTGGTTCAGGGGCAGCTGCTGGGCTTCCTACCAGCCATTTCAGCTCAAGCTCACCATGAGGCTCAGGGCTGGGGCTGGAGTGGGAGGTTGAGGGGAGACGTTGCTGCCATCCTGGGCCACATTTTTACCCTTAGCTCACCCTCCGCCCCAACAAACCTATCTGGGGTATCTGCCAATAACCCCTCTCCCATGGGCTTTTCTCAGGGACCTGCATCATGTCCAGTTCTCTTCTTTCCCAGGGTCTCTCCCTTTCCTCTTGTGAAGACTGTGGTCGTCTATATGCTGGGAGGATCTTAGCTGTGCCTGACCATGGATTCTTCTGGAGCTGTTGTTTATGCCCAGAGTTCTTTCCCTCCGACTCTGAAGCTGCACTGTGTGGTGTTACACCACCCTGAGCAATGAGTACTGCAGCTCCAGCTTCTTAAATGGGATGGTCATGGGGGTGCGGGGAGGTAGCAGGAAATATGGGGGAAAGAGCCTCAGTGAATATGTCAGAATATAGTGTCCTCAGCGTTGACACAGTTGAAGAAGACCTCAGAGTCCATCCACCCCAACTCCTTCCTTACCCCTGTTTGGACTTTTCCACAGTATCCAACACATTAATGACAGGGACTTCACAGGCCCTGGGACAGTTCCTTTGATTGCTGGACAGTGTCATCTTTTCCAAAGGCTCCCTGTAACATCTGTACCTCCTGTCTGCCCATGGGAACACACTCCATGTCTCTACTCCATGTTCCCTTGATGCTCCTGGCCACCCAGGCCCCAGGTGACTGGCCTGAGAAGGAAATAGTCCTCAACCATGAGACAAAGGCTTTGAACAGAGGGTGTCAACCTGAGTCCAGCTGACCCAGTCCTGCTGTCTGCCCTGTTCTCCAACAGGCTTCTGTCTCAGGCACTCCCCCCAGTGAGGAGTTAACTACTTGTCTTCAAGCCCATCTGTGGGCTGACTTTGCGCTGATGGTGGAGCCTCTGTCTCCTCAGCCAGGAGCAGCACCGATGCCTGGCCCACCCCAGCCTCTAACAGAGTGGGCTGGCATTCTGTGCTCTGGTGTTTGACAAAAGCTCCTTAGATGATTCCAGCACATATCCGAGGGGAGAACTCTGCTATGAGCGGTTGTTAAGCAATTCACTAAATATGAAATTAAATTAGAAGGGGAGGTAAAATCTGTCAATTGAGTGACTGTTCTTCATCGGCAGTGAACCGTTAACTCTCAGCTTTCTGTCAGGTGAACTGGAGCTCGAGTTTGCATTGTTGCAACAATGCCAGCTCTTTCCCTTTCTCCCTCTCTCCATCCTTTTCTCCTCCTCTTCC